ATCAAGAAAATAACTGAGGAACCTATCTCCTGCACTTCCTTGGGGTTTTATTTGTTTGGTTTTTTTCCTACATGGCAAAAATGGATGTTTTAAGTCCCTGTGCCTCAAAGCACCTGATTCTCCCAACTGTACATAAAAATGCTAGTTCAGAACAAATTACACAAGCCAGTTCAGAACCCCCTCTTTTTTTAAATCTTTTAAATCGGCTCTGTTTCTAGTTAAGCAAATTGTCCCAATTATGGTAGAACAATGAATGTGTTCTCAGAGAAATACTGCAAAAGTTATTTTAAAAAGCACCCACTTAGCCATAGCTATGATGAATTTTCTTTTTTAATCATCTGATCCAGGAGATTATCTCTGCATGTCATGGCTTATGGAGGCAGGTAATTTGCTGTTGCCCATGAAGTATTCTGCAGGCCATCAGTGCTGTCTGTCTACTGCTATGACAACTCTTTGGACTTTCTCCTCCTTTTTTGCCTGCCCACCCCACCCCGGAAAAAAATAAATTTACCAGTTCCCTTGATGACTTATTCTGATTCAGTATCTCCAATTTTAAAATCGATTAAATATCACTTGTTTGATGGCAAACCACAATATCTCTCCATCTTTGAGGTCAGGTGAAGGCACCCTAAATTCTAGGCACTGCCACTAGCTCATGGGGGAAATTTCTGAGATCCAGACTGTTACTCCTATTTACTGGCACTGAGGAGAGCAGCTAGTCACCTTGAGAGCAGCCTTGAAAATCATGGTGTGAACTCTTGGGTCATTGAGGTCTATGGGAGTCCTGCATTCAGGCCAAAAGTTTACCCACAGGGGGTAGGTGGCCAAATAAAGGTCTTTGCACCTCCACCTTGAAACTCATCCCCACAGAGTATGTCCATGCATGAGACAATGCTGGCTGGCAGGCATTATGCATTTATACACTTCTGGTTTCGTGGCAGCAGTGAGGTGGTCAGGCCCCGAGAGGACCAGCTGCAGCGGCGCTGCTGCAAGGGCAGCTGCTTGCAGGCTGCAAAATCTCCCCGAGCCAAGCCACCTCAGTGGCAGGCAAACTGTCAGCCTGCTGCCACCCTGTTCCTGGCAAGCGCTGCTGAAATGATACATAGGAATGGCTTGTTTTCGTGCTGCTTCTATGAATCTCTTAATAGAGCCAAACTGAAATAGAGCACAAATTTCCAGTTCTGTATTAAATCCACCGCAGATGTGTTGCTTATGTTTGAGAAGCGCTTTTAGGCTGTGGTTTAAGTGGTGCCCTAACCAGGCCAAGTGGTTTTAGGCCCTCTAACACCACACTGAATTTGCTTATTAATTTGTGAGTTGTGTCCTATTTAAAAATATATAAACATTAAGGAATTTTGGTGAAATCCACGTGGTAACGCAATCCCCTTTCGCAGTACATATTTAACAAGCTAAAGAAGGCTAAGTTTAACGCTGAATTCATATATTTAATATTTTAGAAAACAACTCTATTTTTTAAATGTGCAGTTCCAGCCTATTTCTACATAGAGTTCTTCCATTGGACCTTCTAATCCTGTTGCACATGTGGGATAGTTGTGAGATTTATAATAAATACAGATTGAAAGTTGAAACTCATTTGCCTTGATAATGCTAGGTAACTGCTCAGCCTGAGTGATTAGGCACCTTTTTAAGAAAACAATCGGAAAAATAAAAACATGCCAAGATGATGACAGTGACTTGCCAGTTAAGCTGAAATGATGGAGAAGTCAAGGCTGATGGTTAATACTCGCCTGAAAAATGACCTCTGCTGCAGTTGTTACCCCTTGGCTGAGAATAGTAAAATAAAAAGCAGAGTGATATGTACTTTTTTGTGAAGATGCAGTTGTCCTACCAATGCTTGCACAGATCCAACTTCATGCACAAAAGTGGCAGAGCTGCAAAGCCCTGACTTCAGCAGCAGCCCCATGTGCCAAAGCTTGCAAGATTCAGTGATGCTCCTCCCACCAGAAAACATTATTTTTGTGGTTTGTAATTTGGCTCCGGGAGGTACACCAGTATATCCAGATGCTGCTAAAAATATGATCCTTCATTTTCTGCTGGCAGGTTAGAGTAGTGAAGAATATTTATAAGGTGTGTTTTTTCCTTTCCAGTTAAAATGTGCCACCCTTGAATTAAGAGGACAATGTTTTTTACCCTGATGCTTAATTTAGGATAATGTTGAATTTTCATCAGGCCTTGGTGGAAGCTCTCCTAAAAATAGGAATTATCTGGGGATTCCTTGCATCAGAGGGCTAATGAGTGGTTGAAAACTTGACATAAGGAATAAACTATAAATATGACATTTTTGTCACAGCCCCAGTGATTATTGGCAAAACCTCCTGTTGCTTAGTAGCTAGATAGTTTGCATCTGTTTTACTCCTGCCTTTTCGAACTTACTGGACAAAGCTGCTTATTCTCCCTGTAGGGCAAATGGGTTTCACTAACAGAACTTAAACTTTTTATATTGGTGGAATATGTAGATATTGCTCTTTCCACCCAACTGCCAGTCCATGACTGCTAAGAAGAAATGAATCCATTCTGCTGAAATTTCTGAGTAAATTCAGCTCAGTGATGTTTACAGATAACTGGACACTAAACCACTGCAGGATGATCATGATAAAGACCAAAATGCATTCTTTCAAGTACTGTTTCTCAAAGCTTTTAGAGGTATAGTCCCTTTCTGATTGATCTCTGAAGGCCTGAATAGTGGTTAGAATTTCAGGAGACTTCCCCCCCCCCCCCCACCCTCACGGCCCCCCTTAACACCCTTTTGTTCCACACATTT